TAATGTTTAAGAACTTTCAATAAACTGAAATGTCCATCAATGAAATGTTAAACGAATTGCCCCAAAATATCGATACCGATAAAGTTATTAAATCATTTGCAAATAAAAAATGTCGCAAAAAATGTTATTATAAAGTTATTTTTAAAAAACATGCTATACAAATGTATTATGGCAGTTTAATTTTAAATATATTTGGAGTAAAATGAATTGTGTTTAAGATAAATTAAAATTGTTATCAGATATAAAATTATAACATGTATATAATGTTTTTATATTATAAGAGTTTAGATTTTTTTAAAGGAGATTTAACACTTCCTCTACCAAACAGAGGGTTTTTAAACCATTTTAATACAGGACAGCAGGATACTGGAGGGCCGTATAAGCACATAGGCAATAAAGGCACTTTGCATATGGCTTACGATAATGTTAATTCGGACATGTGTAGGCGTGCAGAAATGTATATAATTAGTGATGGGTCGAACCCTAATTTTTTAAATCGAACCGAACTTTAAATTATTTTTTCGAACTCTAACTGAACGGAACCTTCATATTTTCTACCGAACCGAACCTATTATGATTTTAAGACGTACTCGAACTCAATACTTTTTATCATATACATTGTACTACCTACAAATTAAATCAACCATAATTATTAATTACTATTGTATTTTAAGTTTTCGTATTTCCTATTCTACATATTATTTTTTAAGTCTAAATAATTGTATTATTTACAATACATTTAAATTTTAAATAATTTCTTATTAATATTATTATTATTTTTCAAAACCAGTATTGTGCTCTCTCATGTTGTCTTGTAGCTTATATTCATTAAGTATTGAGTATTGAGTGTAATATGACAATTCATACAATCAGTATACTTTAATAATATATAAAAAAAATAGTAATAATAACTATAATTCACAAATATAAAATGATTAGTAGAATTTATAATGTAAGATGTAAGTTGTGAACATGTTTTTATTAACAGCACAGTCGCGGTATCGGAATATTACTATGGATTTACCCAAAATAGATTTTAACCTTTACAATAAGTATGAAAAAAACAAAAATAGTTGATTTATGGGTATAGATACACTGCCGCTATTGGCGATAAACAACTTATTAATGTTTTGGTTGGCGGAGGGTGGATGTGTAACATGCGACTGGAAAAATAACATTATTATTATTATTATAAATAATGCATAACGTGTCCTTTACAAATTATTACTTTCTATCGTCAATAGTCTAATTATTTCTACATAATCATTATCAATTTTTATTTTTCAAAAATAACTTTTGAAGAATTGTACAAATATTTGGTTTTCGAACTATCGTGACCAGTAAGTCTGGTTCAACAAATATTTTCAAGTTCGATTTTCATCAAGGGTTCGGTTCGGTTTGGTTTGAGATTCGAACAGTTCGATCCATCACTAACATAAATATATGTTTATTACAAATATGCAAAACACCCATAAAGGTATAACGTACGTAGGTAACTACTAAACAAGTTTACTAATTATATGACAACACAACAATTTTTATGTTGATGTATTGCTGGTTATTAATGTATAAAAAACAAGTTTCATTTATTACATTCATTCGTGAGAACAAACACATTAGGTACCTATGTTCTACCGTGGAATGCTTATTTCAATTGTTTTTAATATTTATAATATATATTAATAATAGATAATAATAAATAAAAATTAACTTGCTTTCTACACCGGTATAAATATTCAATATTAGCATTTATACATTTGAAGGCTACAGACGAAAAAAGATAGTCCATGGATAAAATTTTTCAATAGATCAAAAACAACATTTTCTAATTTCTATCCAGCAAACATTTAAAAAATACGTTTTAAGGGTTTATATAATTAGAGAACGCATTTCTCATAAAAATCTGTTAACTAATATTAATAATTTTTTGAAAACTATTTGAAATAAAATAAACTGAAAAAATATACCCTCAGTAACCTTCATTTTATAATTGACTTTCTTTTGGTTTTGAATGTTAATGTGAAGTAAAAATAACAATTGAGGTAGTAACGTGACCATTATTAATATATGACTCAGTTTTTTTTTTTTTTAATAAATTTAATTAAATCTTTATAAATAAATAGTCTATACAAATAAATGTAAAGACTCCAAAGTTATTAAAAATAAGACGCGTCATTGGACGGTTTTTCACTTTTCCTTTAAAATCTCTAAGAGCTAAGACTAAACAAAACAAAACAAAACCCAGTTAACATAGATATTATATAGTTACTTATATATAATACATAATAGCTATCATTCTATCAGATTTCATAATTTTGACAAATACTACAGATAGATTTTTCTCAATATTTTTCAATAAAACAAAATATGCTATGTACAATATATTATCATATATAATAGTTAATAAAAATGATTATTTATAAAGTTTCTTAAAATGTATTATATCGTTTATTATTTACCTTAATCAAGGTTGGTTACAACTTACAATATCTAAATAATGTATGTCACGAGTTCCAGTAGAAGAAATCTAATTTTAATATTACCAATACTTTTTTATGAAGGAATTGTAGTTAAAAAAAAATCGACCCAATTTAAAACCTACTTAAAATTTACAAAATATGTCATCAACATGTATTAAATATTATATTAAAAACATTAAAGTGATAAGAAATATTAAATTTTTTATGTTAAAAATGATTTTAAATAGTATAACTATCAGTCTAATAATCGTTATTAGATTTTTTTTTAAAAATTGAAAATTAACCCGTGACTCATCTTGAATTAATGATGATCACACGAATTAGAGATTCCCGAACACACTTTAATAGTTTTTTTTAATTAATTTCAGGCAGGAGGATATCTAGACATTTTTTGTGGGAGGAGGGGTCCAACTTTTTTATTTTATCTGTTCTCAGATTCCGGATCGATCACAGGGGCTCCCCCGATAACTAATCTCTTTCTCCTCGTTCCCTTTGTAACTTAACTCAAGTCTCTTCCGTGTCGTAGCCGTCCAGCGATTTAATTGCCTGTCTAGGACAGAAAACGGCGTTCGGAGTAGTAGCTTAACTTCTACAAAATTGGGGGCAAAATTATTATTACCATTTTTATTATTGTGTCACCAAGTGACTGATCACTTGTCCATTTATCGTTGTCGTATCGACAATTGTGCTTAACCAGTCAACAAACACTCACAAAGCTGAACTGTTCAGACACAGATCTCGTCAATTCAAATCCCATTTTGAATTCCTAACCTCATCTGATGGCTCGATACCATCATAATAAACAAGTTACATCCAAAAAAAGTCTCCCGGTCACGATTTAATAAACAATAATATAGCTAATAATCTTACAAAAAAATCAATACTACTGTTAACTCATATTTTCAAAAACATGCTGCGACTTTCCTATTTCCCACCTATGTGGAAACATATATCAATACAATTACCATCATGATTTCCAAACCAAATAAACCCAAGCAATTAGTATCATCATACTGGCCAATTAGCCTGTTACATACATTTGGTAAATTGTTCGATAAACTACTTTTAAAACGTATTAAAGCTATAATTGATGAAAATAATATACTGCCAACATCTCGATTCGGTTTCCGCACCAAACATAATACTATACACCAAGTTAATAGAATAACTGACCATATATTTACTTCTTTTGAGAAAAAACTGTTCTGCCAAGTAGTCTTCCTCGATGTCTCTCAAGCTTTGATCGAGTGTTGCACGATGGCATACTCTTCAAGCTTAAACATTTTTTACCTGCACTTTAAAATGTTACCATAAAATCCTTCTTGGAAAATAGATGATTTTCTGTACGTATTAAAAACAGTAATTCCAACTCCCAATCAATAGAAACTGGTATCCCTCAGGGAAGCGATTTATCGCCTATACTTTACAACGTCTACAACTCGGACATTCCATCGACCAACAACATTATACTTGTAACTTACACCAATGATACGGCAGTCCTAGTTTGCAATTTGCAATCATATATTTGTGTTTGATATACATTTATTGTGATTCTTTATTATAGCTAATAATTACAAATACCTTGTAATTTTTTTATGAAACATTATGCATGGTGAGAATAGCATAAAATATAAAAGGCTTGTTTTAATATATTCATTGGTAGTCAATAATTTCACCTATTCCTCTGATTTTATTAAACATGTATTCCTGATCAGTAGAATACTTGGAAGATAATTTAATTTTTACGTTTTATCTACGTACCTAGTTGTCATAAATTGAACCAGATATAACTAAATTTTCTTAACATAAGCTGCCACAAAAACTCATTAATAATTCATATTTTACCTGTTTTGTAATATTTTTTTTTCTATAGTGATTATTTTGATATTTATTTATATTAAGTTCAATACAATTTTTCAAATCAGTTATTAATGAGAACTAGAGTTCACAGTATTCACAAAAGGGCATCATAGCTAAATTTAGTTCAATAATAGTATAGACCCACCATAAAAAAGTTAGTAATAAGATAATGTAAATGATAGGACTCTATAAGAATTATATTCAATTCCTTTGTTAAATAAATAATAATATAATTAAGAAATATATATTTATACATAATTTCTCATTTTTTAACTAAAATTTATAATATATTAAAAATAGATTAATGTTACTAATATCAATAAATTGTTTTATGAATGATTTACAAAAAATATAATTCATTGTTCCAATATGAATAAAACAAGGTTTTTGTTTGATGTATAAAAATAAAATAAAATAAATTAAATATTGTACTCAATACTAAAATATTTTATTACCATATCCAATAGATAATAAACTAAATTTCAGTAATTATAATATTAAAAAAATTAATAATAAGGGAATAAATTAAAATTAGCTATAATTAAATTTTACAATTTAATTTACTGTACAGTTGAAAAATACTTGACCAAAAAAAAAATGTCTGTATAAGTATTAATATTTTCATAGTATTTTATTTCAGTATTAAATATTAAATAAATTTCTAAATTAAATAAAACATTTGTAGCAACAGATAAAAAAATTAAAATATGTGAATAATGCACAATATTAGAAATGCAGTTAGGTGACACATGTTATTATCACAATTCATAGTAATAAAGATAATATTAATATAATGATTTCAGGATTTATAATTATGATTCCACTTTTTCTGTTCTTAAGTAATACTTCTTTTACTTAACTGCCGGTAAAGAATGAGCCTGTAATGAAATATATTAATGAAAACAAATATTAAATTACAGCGAACCCTCAATAACTCGAATCGGTTGGGGGCAAAAAAAAATTTGAGTTACTGAAAATTTTTTTCTATTTAAAAACACAATGACTTCATTTTATAATTTTATTTATGTCTTTACTAATAAATGTATGATGTATGTAGGTATGTATATTGTATTAAATTTTTAAAAAAATAAAGTAATAAATATGTATATGTATAAATTGTATGTAATAAAGAAAATACAATGTAATGAATAAAGTAGAACTATTTTTTAAAAAAATCTGATATTTTTGATTGGTTTTTATTGTTTGACCTATCTGTAAAGTTATCAATAAAATTTAGTACGAAAAATCTCTTCTCCAATTTTTCATTGTTCTTGAATGTACTTATGTACAACCTGTAAACTATCTAATGCCTGGACAAGATTAGTTTTAGGCAAAGCCATATTATATCGTTGAATTTATAACTGTACCTTTTCAGCAATAGGTAAATATAAGATTGATAATTTTAATCGGTTTTCAATACGATTATCGTTATTTATAATTATGCACTTGGTTATTTGACTTTCGAGTTATCGAGGTATGTACATGTTAAATATTATTTTATAAATTTGAGTTATAAGCCAAAATTCAACTACAATTACTTCAACTTATCGAGAAAATTTATCACGTATATCATATATTGTAAGGCAGGGGCCTAGGCATTCCTTCGAGTTACTAAATATTCGACTTATAGAGGTTCGAGTTATCAAGGTTCTACTGTATATAATTATTAAAATAATATAGCTTGCGGATTAAACTTTAAGAGAGTACATATATATATATATATATATATGAATTTTGTTTTTAAACTTTTTTATAGAACAATAAAAATAATTGCTGAAAATAAATTGATAAATATAAATAATAATAAAAATAAAATGACAGATTAGACAGACTGTAGAGATCTTTTAATGATGGTACTACAACATGATAAAATTAATTAGTTGATTAGTAGAGCATAATAATACTGTCTTTAAGTCTTTTGACTGGATTTCCTAGAATATTGAGATGATAAATCTGAAATTAAGGGGCTTTTATGCTGAGCTAAGCTATTTTGGTAGCACTTCATAGTTGAATTCCATATGCTCATATGTCTTAGTAGGAGTTTTATGTGATTAGTGATTAGATGTGACCAAAGGAGTCAAATACATTCATTTAGTATTCAAGATTTGCTAATTAAGTGTGATTGCCAGGTGAATCGGCAGTCTATAAAAATATCAAGGTATTGTACATACTAGGTAGGGGAAAATGTTTGGTTATTGAGAAAAAGGGTTGGCATATTCCGCAGTGAAGTGTGAAGGTACAATGAATGGATTTAGTTTCATTAATTTTAACGTTCAAGTTTTGTACCAAGTTTTAAAGGTGTTTAGATGGTCTTGTATGTAAAAAGAGGCTAGGTTAGAATCTGAACTGATTGTTTGAATGACTTTGTCGTCGAAAAAGTCACTGAACTAGTGTATGGATAGAGGTTGGCTAGTCAGAGATGTAAAAATTGAAAATAAGAAGACCAATTACTGTATCTTAGGGCAGAGCTGGTTTTATTTATATTGGAGAAAAGAAGAAAGAACCCACGTGTACAGAGAAGTGATCTTTAAGGCTAAAAAGTAATAGAATGAGAGTAGAATAGAATTAATGAATTATATAGAATATAAGAATAGAATGAGAAGTTTTAGTTTGTAGAGAAGTCCTGAGTACTAAATTTATATATTTATTTCTATTTAATTTCAGTAAATCCATTTAAGATGCTCTATTTTAAAACAATTTCCTACCTAATATACGCATTTTTATGAGTTCCTAGACTTTGACAACATTTAACAAGTAATTAACTGTAGGTTATACACTAGCTATTCCTGGATAAGATGCTGTTATTGTAAATTATGTAAATATAAAAATAAAAAATTTAAAAAAATATATCACTTATAAAAAGGATAAGGAAAACAGCGAATATTTTTAAGAAAGATATGCAGAAAACGACAAGAATTTCACTACAAATAACACTAGAAGCATTTACCAGATAATTACTGTTAAAATTTTATTGGTTGATGTAATTTCTATAGAAGAAGAAAGTAAGGAGGATTAAGAGGATGACACAACACCAATCCTCTAGGTAACATATGCACTTGATTATGTTAATAAATCAAGAAGATTAATAGCATCTTTTAACAATGCTTATAATATTACATAATTTCAATAAAATTGAGAACTTTCTTTAATGTAACTAAAGTATTTATATTCTGCAACAAATGTTTAGATAGGAAATGAAAATAAATAAATATACTTACCCACAATAAGAAAAAGAATTATTGCTACAACAAGCCCCAATAGAATCATCATCTAAAAAAATAAAAATAATCAAGCATAATTAATAAATATTAAATACTTAAGACAATATCAATTATATATTATTTGGTAAATAATACCCACAATAAATTAAAAAAACTGTTATACCTTTAAATTTTTCCACCACATCTTTCTTTTAAGTTTAGTAGCATGTTGCTCAAATTGAGAGGCACCTTGTTGTAAAACATCTAAAAGAATTTTAATAAATTTTAATTTTCTATAAATTGGTAATAAAGATTAAAAATTAGTATCTGCTTTTATTGGTTTAGCTTACAATGAAATAACAAAATTTAGTAAGCAATTATATAACAATATGTTGTTATATTGTATGTAATCAATGGTGTATATAATTTTGTATTTAATTGATTTTAGGATAATTTTTATTTCAAACCTTTAAATAGTAGATGCACAGTAAAAAATTAGGTTTAATTATAGTAAAGAATTTTTTTAAATTCATTTTCATAAATGAGAATAATGTGGCAGTGTGAAATAGAATAGTTCAAAACAATCAATAGAAATTATTACTCTTGCTCTTAGTAAGTAAAAAAAATTATTTTACTAAAGCTTTAAATTTAACTCAAAAGATAAAAATTATAATTATAAAATATATATTATTAACAATGTGCTTAAAATATAATTATTCTTTATGATTAATAGAATATTTTATAATATATGTTATAGTTAATTAAATTTATAGGTTCATATGTCAGATTAAGTGATATACAATCTATAGTAACTAGATATTAATTCTAAATTTAATAATTTAGAAAAACAATGCATTAGTACGTACAAAATAATTGTATAGCTATAAATTCTTTAACTCATAACAGTATTTACTATTTTGGGTATATTACTAAACTTACTTGTAATACCTTCCTACTGAATTTTTCGTAAGCATAAACAAAAATAAATTATATCACATTTTTGTAAATATAACATGATAGAACAGTATTCATTAATAGTGTATTTGTAAAATTATATATTATTTATTAAATGTTAGTAATAGGTCCAAAAAGAAAGCACTTGTTTTTACTTTATGGTTAACTAAAAAAAATTTATATTCAAATTAAGTAATGAAAAATAATTTTTAAAGCAATAAAAATATATGTACCAAAAAATTAAAATAAATTAAAAAATTAATTTCTATAACAACTTTATACTTTAAGTACCAACATTAGTATTTTTTACATCACTTTAATAAAAATTGTTCTTTGAAATATGACTAATTTTATCCCAACCGTTCAAAAATAAAAAGTTATCACTATTTTTATAAAATACTTAATATAAGCAAATTCATAATTTTTAACCAAGTAAAAATATTTAATTGATAATTATATCATCTATGATATAATCCATATAACAGATTTTCTAGACACATACAACATTTTGGCATTCTGTTATTAGGTTACATATAAATGTATACATTATTTAATATGTTTGAAAAATACATTTTTTAGTTGATTTTATACTTTTGTAGTTTTAAATTTTTCAAGTTAAAATAAGTCATATCAAAAACTTGTCAAGAATCTGGTTAATACTATAAATACTTATAAATAAAATATAATTAATTTTAAAAACAGAATTAGTTCAAGTATTGTGAATAATAATTCTAATATTTATGTACCTGCACGATTATCCAACTCTGACAGCTTTTGGTCTCGTTCTAGTACCTTTTCAACATTTACTCTCATAATTCCAACGACCTTGAAATAATTTTATGATTAGATAATTTAATAAAATACAAATCTATACTGAACTTACAAATTTAGTAGATATACAAACTACAATATACTATGATAATGCTCAAACCAAGAATTTAGTAATGTACAAACCTCATCGACTTGAGCCTGAGACTCTTGGAGCTTCTTCTGAGAATCTGTAGGTTTTTTGCTACTTTGTGGTCCTCCTCTATTATCAGCCATATCTTAAAAAAACGGTTACAATGTTCAATGTGATGAAAACCAATTTTCCAGAGGACTTCAACAATACGAAATTATGTATTTGGGTATATAATATGTTGACAGAGACTGCATTTGTCGAGAAAAATGAGGGAAAAAATATGATAAACGCGCGATTGGGCAAACAAAGATTGGTGAACAGGCACTGCAGTCGTTAATTATTTTTGTACATCTGCTCAAAAACCAATATTGGAAATTTTGCCCGCACGCACACTCACACGATTGTATTATAGCTTCGGATGAGATTTTGTGAATGTTCAAACTTCCGATAACAAATCCGACGGCGAGATGTGCGTAAGACATTAACGGTTTACTACTCACTGGGATCAGAGGTGTAAATGGGTGTATCGTCAACGTCCAAGGACACGAGATCAGGAATTCGTAATATTGTTTATGAATTATTATAGGTTTTGATATAGTTATTTTTTTTTGCTAGATATACTTACTGATGATGATATAAGATCGTTATAGTTTTTACTGAACGGTCGGTAGTAAGATCAATGCAAGACACGGAGCAAACAGTTTTGGCCTTCTCAATGTAATTTGCCTACAATTGGACAACAATTAAGATTATTGTTATTGATAATATTAAATGGTCCGGATACGACTAAGTACAATCTATAATTGTGTAAGAGAGCCAACAGAAGTACGCAACAGATGAACGACTGAGGACGTGATCATCGGTGATGTAATCATAATGTGACGTCACCCACGGCGATAAAAGTAATTATCATTGATACGGCAACCGAGTGCAATGACGTTATAAGCACATCACTTTTTTGAAAGAATTTGCATTATCTTTGGAATTTCAATCGTTTCATTGCGCGGATAATTCTCGCAATTATCGACGACTCGTTATTTTACAAATCCAAAAATATTCTTTTGTACTTCGTTTTTACAACATATATGTAGAAGATAAGATAAGATTTTAATTTTTAAGAAAAACAAGAAATTATTTGTTTTATCAATCATTTGTAATAAAAAACATCCAGGTATGTATTTATATTTTACTAAATTCAGTATCATACTAATGTGTTTATTTATTTTATGCTTACAATAGTTATAATTTAAACACACACACACATATGTATATATATATATATATATATATACTAGCTTAATTACCCGGCTTCACACGGATCATTCTTGGTCGTGACATAGATTTTAATAGATTATTACTTTCACTATTTAAAGCCAAGTTTGGTGTAACTGTTGGTGGTTATAAAACAAATAAAACGAAAGTTCAAATTAATCAGTATAGCAATTTTGGTGATACGCTAAATTACCGTATTTTCTTTTTCCAATATTTTTTAAAATCCCTTCTTATTGCATGTATTAAATATTGGAGAGACCACCTAGTAAAATTTCGAGTTCATTAATTTTAAGATGTAGCGATGATCAATGAGTGAGTAATACATGACGTCAGCAGCATGATAAACTCATTTTTGATGAGAAGCAAACATGTATGCAAAGTACCTCCCCCCTTTAACAAAAATTCCATCACAGCAAAAAAATAAAATTTTTACAAAATATCCCTATTGTTTGTAGATTTATATAATCGGATGTACCTACTTAATTAGTTGCATTCATAAATTATTTTGTATCTTGATTTGAGTTAACATAGGCTGGTATAAATATTAGTTAGCACCAATTGTAACTAGTCTAATGGACCATATACAGCATGCTAGTGCACTAAATTTTTATTATCACATTAAATAATTTAATATTATATTATAGTATCATTAATATCTATAGTTTTATACATTTTGTATAAGTAAAAAGAAGTTATAATAGCAAAAATCTAGGTATAGGAGGAATTTCATATTTTGTACAGATTGTTGCGAATACTTCAGAATATAATTTTTTTTTTTAAAAAAAAGACTACTATGACAAAAACAAATTTTTATTTAAATAATAAAGATTTTTTTAATGATGTTGATGCATATTTATCTAATGCCTCTTTTAAATCAATTAGAATATCCTTTTCTCATGATAGTAAAATTAAACTTTCTAAGCGGATATGATGCATGGTAGATCTCAATCTGGTTTTAATTAATTTTAGTTTAGAGAAAGATCACTCATTTGACACTGAAGTGGATGGAATGGTACACAAATAATTATAAGCTGTATATAAAATGGGGAATGCTGAAATCAAGTTGTAAGAATTTAAAAGTTTCAATATTTGTAGGGAATTGAATTTGGTTTTATCAGTTGTATTATCTTAATTTTCAGAATCTTCAGATGAAGTACTATTCTCATAATCATTAAAGGATTGGGTAGATTCGAATCTTATAGTATTTGATTGTTCCAGTGTCATGCCTTTCTGAAGTTTCATTATACACAAAGAAAATTAAAAATATTCATTTTTTTAATTTATTAAGTTTAAGACTAGGTATCCATTTTACTAGTGAAGAAATTATCTGGCACTATCAATCCTTTATTGAAATTTAATATACGATCAAACGATAAGAGAGATAAATCATATAATATTGTCCGAGAACCTTCAAATCTACTGTTGATTGATGATAAAATTGATCTACAATGACAAAATACACCTCTGTTCTAAACTTATCATCTGGTTTTGTAACACAATGATCGGATGAATTTACACCTGGCATCCTTTTTTTGCGTAAAACTTGTTCTTGAGGAAAATCTATTTTAGTAAGGCCTTTACTTATAGCGAATTGTTTAGCTTCCATCAATAAATCATCTGCACACTGAACTGTTCTAATATTTTTAATTTTTTTAGTAGTCTAATCAACAATATATAGTGCCTGAATAAATTCAATAGATGATTATAGGTTATAGGTGATTAAAAGTATTTTGATAAAGGCGTGATAAATGCAAAAATATTTTTCATTAACAAAAATTTGTAACAAATTTAAAAGATGATAAAATTTCTAATAAGCTTTAGCTGTAGATGAACAATCACGATCCATACATGTTGACAATATTTCTAAAGTGTTCATTACAGCATCATATTTTTTATGAATAACTGAAATAGCTTTATCGTGTAATGACCAACAGGTTGAAGAAAAGTTTTTTATTCTAAGAACTCTATCATGTGGATAACATTTCTTTTGTTCTCCTAAAAAAATCGCTACTCGTTTTCTTGCTCTTATAAAAGAAATGAGTACTTGCATATCTCCAAAAAAATTTCTTATACTAATGCATCTGTCACATGTATCAACTACTACCAGATTCAGAATATGTGAAAGACACCAAACATACAAAGCACAAGGATTCTTTTCTTGTACATATGAACGAAGACCTGAATACTGTCCCTGTATAGACGCGGCTCCATCATATGTTTGTGCACATAAGTTATTTATCCAATCTAAATCATATTTAATACAAATATTGCATAGTAAATCAAACATACCTTTGCCAGTTGCATCATTTATAGATTCTAAAGCCATAAGTCTTTCTTTTATTTTACTAAATTCATCCACAAACCACAAAATCAGAGAAAACTGTTCTATATTAGAAACATCAGTAGTGGTGTCAATATAATTGAAAAGATGCCAGCCATTTTCACTTTTTTTAATATTTGAGAACAAATGATATCACTCATAACTAAAAGCATTGTGTTTTGAGTGTTATTAGATAAATAGATCAATGATGTTTTTTCTCGGCAGATTCAAGTGTAGCGATATAAGAAGAAAGTAATTCATTATGTTTAGCAAAAAGCTTAATTAATTCAAGAAAGTTTCCCTGACTTTTAGATAGCCAAGATTCATCATTACCTCTAAAAGACGAATTTTGACAAGCGAGATATAGTAACACTTCTAGTATTATTTTGACAATCTCTCTATTTTCAGTAACTTCGGTATTAGAGTTTTGTAAAGATTTTATATCTACTCTTTGATTACTCAAATACATTACTTTTCTAACCTCTGACTGCAAATGGTTTGGTGATGCTTCATGATTATCAAGTTTATAAAAAATATGTCTCCAGTCGTTTGAACCATTTCTAGCAAGTTGGTTAGATTTGCCATCTGTTGTGCTAAATTGTTTGCACACTATACAATAAACTTTATCCTCAGTTGGAGAATAAGATAACCATTTACGTCTAACAAACTCTCCAGTTGCAATCTTTTTAAAATAATGTTGCTCATGGTTGCTCAACAATCTCAAATGTTTTCCTTGTTTTCTTAAAGGAAATATACCGTTTTTTCACTCGGTTGGTTGTGGTTGACATGATTCTTGATGTGCAATTTGTGAAAAACGTTCAATTGAATTATTTGAACATAAAAGTAAAGCTGGATCATGAGGAAATGTTTCATATTGGTTTAATATTTTATCTAAATCTACTAGGGTCAGTGTATTACCTTCAATGCAATCATTGCATGCTAAACATAAAATTAAACAATACAAATTAGATACGTACACCCATTAATTCCAAACTTTACTAAAATATAAATAATATAATTTACCAGATATATTATCATGATCACCATTAACATTGTTAATGGATATTGAAGTATTTAAATCTGGAATAATAATATTTAATGCTTTATCTTCATTGCTCATATCATCTACATAATATCTTTGCATACTGTTCAATTTTGCTCATCTGAAATCATAAAAAATTTTTTAATACTGAAAATAAAAATTTTAAATCTGATTTAATTTTTTTAAAAAAAAAATTCAAAACACCCATTTGTAAATCTGGATTTTAGAAAACTAAATTGTAAGAACAGTTATTTAAGTCATATAGTTAATTTTTTGAAATCTCATTACTTTGTTAAGTAAAGTTGATCCAGTCCTAAAAAATATTTTAATTAAAAAATAAATATATAAATACAAAATATTATAGGTTATTATTATTTAAATAATTACATTCTTAAAAAATAAAAATAAAGATTATTATATTAAACAAATAGAGCAAAGATTCAATACATAATATGTAATAAAAAATTTAAAAAATATTGATTATAACAAGTTATTTTATTTATCAGATCTTCCTGTTCCTGTATTAGTTAATCATTTTTAAATAAATAATTTAATTTACCAGTCATATCTTGATCACCATTAATATCTTTAACAGTTATTGCACTATTTAAATCTGCATTAACTAAATCATATCCTCTGTCTACATTATCCATATCAACTACACAAATATCTTCGCATACTGTTAAATTTTGCTCATCTAAAATTACAAATAATTTTTTAATACTGAAAATAAAAAATTTTAAATCTGATTTAATATAAATTGCTATTCATATGCCATTTAAGTTCAATATGTTTGCAACAGTGTATGCCATACTGTCGTTCTAAACGACTATTCAGTATTTAATTTAATGCATATAATAAAAAAAAACCATTAGAAACTAGCACGTTATTCAGATCTAACAAACAGTAATTACATAGGTATAACAAAATAGGTAGGTCCTATAGAAGTATAGAACCTATACCATTTGAATTGGTTATTTATGAAAGGTGAGATGTCACAATTTTTTGGAAAATGACTTTTTTTAATAAAGGTTCTGAGAAAATAAACATATAGTTTAATTTTGAAAACTTTATATAATAGTCAACTTAAGAGTTAACTTTATATAATACTTATTTTACTATAGTGATTCAAATATTTAGTTTATTTTTGTACAGTGCTTAGTACCATAGTTGACCCTATTCATAAATAGGTACATTTTTCCAATCAAACTATTTTTTTGATAATAACAGGTGTTAATAGTATATGAACATTTAAAATATTTTTTATCATGCGAAATTGTATGAGAAAAACAGATATTTTTAATTTCCCGAAAGTTTCACTTTTTGGACTTGGGAGGGGGCTTTCATAAATAACAGATTACTTTATAGTTATAAAAACTTAATTGTAAATAACTAATATCTAATATTTGAAGGTAGGTACCTAGATAAAAAAAAAAAAAATAGGAAGGTAGTTTACAAATTAAATTCTACTAATAAAATTTGTGATACATCACAATAATATTAGTATAATATTTAAGTACAATAGTTCTTACCATTTTTTTTTCATTTTTTTTGCATCAGACTCAGTAGAATTAGAAGCCTTCAAAAATCTTTTAAAATATGTATTGAGATATTTTGAAGATGAATTTTTTTTTTATCGCTTTGCACGCACTTAAATGCCTTTTCCAATTCGTTGGACTTATGTTAATTTTTTTTTTACCACATAAACATGCTTCGACGTCAGACATGATTAAATCAAAATAAATAAAACTTTAGAAAACCAAAGCTAGTGGTCACAAGTCACAATGCTTCAAAATTATAACTGATGGGTTATGAGAATAAGAAAATGTAGTTGCACGCTCGTGTCTCGCACTGAAATATTGGATATACAGCTAGGGATGCGCAACCAACATCGATATTATCGTTTCATCGATATTACAGTCTGATATTATCGAAAATAAAGCATCGATATTTATATACCGATATATCAATATAATATCGATGCATATATTATGTAATATTGATATATCCAACTATTTTTTCATACAAATTGATTCCAAGTTATTTTTTAAACATGCGTTTATACAGGTTTTAATGGCTTTATAATTATCTTAGTTGTCGCCGTTTTCGGTCACCGGGACAACGTATCCGTATATATGTATTCGCGGCCCCCTGTGATTATTATTAGGATTACCAGGAAGTCTGGCACTCGACTATAGTTTTTCAATAAAATTCCTGGAATGCACCGCAGTTCATAACATGTCGATATTTATCGATAGTCGTAAGCACTCGTAAAGTCGTAACTCTGAATAGACTATGAATTTAGGTATATTACAAAATACATAGGTATTAGGTATTAAATATTATTTGCTCTGTCGTTTGTCGTCAAGTGTCAATTACTACTTACTAAATATTAAGTTCTAAACATATCTAAATCTACTTGCTTACCAGTTGATAGTTAGACCATCAGTAACAATTAATTGTTCATCGCTGCGATTTAAAATATTAATTAATTTTTGGAAAACAAATTTTAAAAATGAGTTTAAATATTACCAATGTTAGTGAAATTTCACAGTGGAGTTCTTCGCGTATTCTACAATATTTCACCAGTCAGTCAATATTTGTATAAGTGTAATATTTGTACAAGAGTTTATTAAACATCCAATGGTGGTGTTCAAAACTTGTGTTTTTACAATCTTTAGATGATAAGTATTGGTTCTGAATTTCTAATTTTCTAAGTGTTTTACCTTATACAAGTTGTAAATTTTATAATATTCAATGTACACATAATTATATATTAAAATATTTACTTATTATTTGCATTTTATTTATTTATATGACCTAATAATATTAATTTATAAAATTATATCGATATTTTGATATTTTGATGTCTATAAAAAAGTTTACATCGATATTTCATTCATCGATATGTCGAACCATTATCGTTTTTGCGCAACCCTATATACAGCAGTACGGACTACGGGCAGAGTATTACCATTGCATATTGATTAAACATTTTTATAGTAATTATAATCCATTCGTTCTAATGTATCAGGATGACAGAATTTACCAATACGATAACACGCGCTCACGTCGTTTTCTATTAATAAATCACCAATAACAATATTATTATGCGGGTATAAGCAATTGCGGTCGTTGAGTAAATTTCTAGAAACGAACCAGCTTATCTGTGTTTTCCTAATAATAATCATAATGCATTGTAACCGACCGAAAACCACCGTCTGCATCGGATAGATCGGTTACATCCGAGTTGCGGTCAGAGACGATTTTCGAGATAAGGACATATAACAGTTGCGGTCACGCGAATTGTAGGTAATATCCTAGTTGCGGTTATTATACCTATTACTTATCTGTAAAGTTTGATAATAAAATAAATAAAATTGTGGCGTACATATAACTTTTGTATTTGGGGGGGGGATCAATTGCAAACAAATTATTATGGAAGAAAAATTCCTAAACCAAAGGACTTGCACATTCAAAATAATAAATTATAAAATATATATATTGAATGTGTCAAAATAATAATTTACAATAAATCCTTGAAATATTTTTTTGTTTCCTTATAATTTCCTTGCATTAATAATACTATTTTATACAATTTTTAAAAGACCTATGGGGGGGGGCATCTAACCCCCACATCACCCCTTGTATACGTCCCAGCAGTAGTAGGTAACAAACTAGATGATCACCAATCAATGGTACGGTAAAAGGTTAGTTACAGTGTTAAACGTAAAGCAATGGATCAGTTGAGCGAGCGTCCCTCCAAAATTTTTTATTCTGAGATGTCAAGTACAGTATTCAGTGTACTGGGGTCAAATGGCGTTACATTGATTAGAAAAAATATATACACTGCAAGAATGAATGTTCACTCGAAGTTGCCGCGTGACTTTTCACAATTACTATTGTGATTTCAAACCTACACAATAAAAATAGTGTAGACAGTCCTAAGTCTGTTTATAAAATGGAAAAGAAAATGTTGAAAATGGAAAATGTTGTTACTTTTTTGTAAATAAAATAGCATGGCATAAATACTATATATATACTAGATATATATTTTGAGTGACCGCAACTAGTATGTAACCTTTTTGTTGGGTGACCGCAACTAATATACACTGGATAGATCGATATTTTCGGCATACTGATTTACTTCTATAATATTTACAGGTTTTATACTGTTAAGGGAGTGTAGCACACTAGCTCGTATGTCTTACACAAGTAAGACACATATTCGTATACGTATTAATATATTCAATCATAAATAAACCTAGTCATCAAGGTGGCTAGGTATTTTGTAGCAAGGCGAACACCCACCCACCAAAAATTTTGAAAGAGCAATTGCTCTAAAATAACACATTCGCCACGCCACTGCCTAACGTTTTCCGTTGAGAAAATTGTGAGTGTTCAACTCTTTTTGGTGTTACCGTTGAACCTATGCCTTTTTAAGTATAAATCACCCAAAATAACGGTTGAAATATTAATTTATTATGTATTATAATAAGTATATATTAAATATAGCCATGTTTATCACATCTTGCTGTACCTTTTATTTTTTCTCTTTTCTGAGTTGTAAATACTAAAACTTAGCCGATATCTTATAACTATTACTCTAATTGTTATATATTGTCCAAATGCTAAGAAAAAAAAATATGTATATAATCAACAATAAGTTAGGATGACTTACGTCAGTAAAACTTTATTTAATAAAAAAAAATAAAAAAATAAAATAAACTATTTCGTTTCTATTTCTATAAAAGTATAAAATATGTATTTAAAATTATTACAAATGATGGAATTAATAAGAATGAATTTAAGACGACAAAATAAAATACGTATTAAACTGAGACGCTTAGTTGTAAAAAAACAAAGGGACTTCAAAATTAAAATGTGTGATGACTTGAAAAAAAATGAATATACAGTATTATCGACAATTATTTGATAGTTGTAGTTTAAGTATTGGACCTTTATTAAATGGACCACGTATAAGAAGCTTATTGATAAAAAAAACGTTCTAGTGACTGGTGGCTGGAAATAGTTAATGTCCAGTTTGTAAAAGAAGACTGGATTGAAAATGTTAATCGACCTACTAGTTACTACTGAAATACGGTATTGTCTATTAAAAGGTTAACTAATTATTTTTTATCATCACCTAATAAAATAATGAATATTTACAACTGATAATTGATTCGGTTGTAGTTGTGATTTCGCATCGATCCGTTTACATGCATTTTGTACTCGCGTAGTTATTTCTAATACGCATTTCAAGTGTGAATTAGCTAAACCGTTTTAGGTAAACCGAATTGATTTTAAACCGAATTAACAGCCGTTTACATGCAGGCCCGGATTAAGGCGTAAGCAGTGTAGGCTTCAGCCTACACAACCACGGATTTAGGGGCACGGGCACTACATACTATCCTTATTTTTTTTTTCTAAACTAGAAAAATTGTACAATCTGTAAAATAGTTATTGACAATAAGCACAATACTATCCTGATGTTATTTTTATTTAAATAATATCGGAAATTTGAAATAGTAATAATCAATGCGTTTTGTCGTGCGGTCTTCTAAACCTCGTTTTATTTTTAGATTGTTATTTTTCCGTAGAACCGGTCGCACACCGATAACGTGTGTAGAGCCGCAGACGGCAGACAATGCCAGTGCGTTTACTTATTTATATTTGTCGTAGCTCGCCGCCGATGGTCATAAATTGGGTAAAATAGTATAAAATATTAAATAGTATTAGTATTTCGTATACACGCGTCACGTGCATCGAAAATTCGTCCGTTTGATCGTACGATTCGTACGTATGTTTTGTTAACACTATTGTAACTTGTAAATTTAAATTATAAAGGTTTTACTTTAGTGCGAGTAGTGCATTTTATATATAGTTTAGTGTTCGATATTTATGTAAAAATGGATCAGAAACGGCATATTAGTGGAGCACAAGCGAGAAAGCGTGCAATTGATAAAAAAGAAAAAGAAGTGATTTTATTAAGTAAAATACCTAGGTTAAATAATTTTTTCAAACAAATAAATAACATTACCCCTAGTTGTGTTGAAGATAATAAACTAGAATCTTCAAATGATATAACTATTACTAATAATTGTTCTACTACTTCTACTTCTATTCAATGTACTGCGTCTTCTTCAGATCAATCAGTTGTTGATATAAATGAGGAATCAGAAAAATCTGAGCTAAATGTCATTCCTAATCCTCTTACGCAGAATAATACAAATAATTTTAAAGATCCAGCAGATTGGACAAATAGTAATATATGTCGTAATTATATTGCAAAATTTGGATATGATCAGAACATTGATGCAGATTTTACTTCATCAAAACGAACTTATTCTGATTATGATCGTTATTGTAGTAAATCAATCTTTACGAAAAATCGAAAAAACGGAGAAAATGTTTCACGGAAATGGCTTGTTTATTCAATTTCAAAATTTGTATTATTTTGTGCTCCATGCAAATTATTTGGATGCAGTACTCAACTGGGAGATGCTGGATTTAATGATTGGAAAAATGGACATTTAGTTATTTCCAGGCACGAAAATTCTTTGGCACATAAAAATAATACATTAAGTTTTATTACATTACAAAGTGATGTAGGTAGAATTGACACTCAATTGGCAACACAAGTGACTGATGAAATTAATTACTGGAAAGCTGTTCTTCATCGAGTTGTTGAAGTAATTAAATTTCTCGGTGCAAAAGGTTTATCATTCAGAGGTGATAATGAACAATTTAACAAAATTAACAATGGGAACTTTTTGGGAACGTTAGAGTTACTTGCTAAATTTGACCCTTTTATTGCTCAACATATAGAAAAATATGGGAATAGAGGGAAAGGAACTCCGTCTTATTTATCATCCACAATCTATGAAGAACTTTTACTTTTGATGAAGAATGATATAATTAAAATTATATTAAAAGAATTAAAAGCAGCCAAGTATTATTCTTTAATTGTTGATTCTACACCTGATATAGCAAACATCGATCAACTTGTTATTGCATTAAGATATGTTTTACCTAGTGGTGTACCTGCAGAAAGATTTTTAATATTCATTCCAAACAGTGGTCATAAATCTAAAGAAATGAGCAATGTTGTAATGGATTTTCTTAATTCACACAATATATCAATTGAAAATTGTCGTGGCCAGAGCTACGACAATGCGAGGAATATGTCAGGTCAGTATTCTGGATTGCAGTCAAGAATTAAAAGTTTTAATTCATTTGCAGAGTATGTACCATGTTCTGCACATTCTCTTAACTTGGTCGGAACGTGTGCAGCAGAAAGTTGTAATTCTGCTACTTCATTTTTTATGCTTCTCCAGGAACTATACAATTTTTTTCTAGTTCTACTGCACGTTGGGACATTTTAAAAACATATTTGAAATAAAATCTTAGTGTAAAAAATTTATCAGTAACTCGCTGGAGTGCTCGTTTTGATTCTTGCCATGCTTTATTTAATTCTTATGCATTTATAATTGAAGCTTTGCATAGTATAGTTGATAATCAGAAAGAAAAAGCTGTATATAAAGTAGAAGCTAATGGGTTGCTTGCAAGATTAAAAACTTTAGAAACTGGTTTAATGATATGCATATGGAATTCAATATTAAACAGGTATTTTTCACTCTATAAATTAATTATTTTTAAATAATAAATTATGCTTTCATTTATTTTATTTTATTAGGGTCAGCTTAATAGATAAATAAATTAATATAAAGTTTAATATGATTTTAGTTTTAATGCTACAAATAAAAAATTACAATCAACTGATATTGATCTTCATACAGTATTAGAACTATATAATGGCCTTGAAAATTACTTGGTACAGATCAGAGATGATTTTGATGTTTTTGAAAATAAGGCTGTAGAAATTACTGGTTGTTCGGAGTATACCAAAGATTCCAAGAGAAAAAAAAAGAGAAAGGTATGTTTAACTTATTAATTTTAAAATACACATAAAATAATTTGAAAAAAGTCATAAACATTAACAACATTAAAAACTATTTTTTTTTTTAGGCTATGGCTGATGAATCAAGATCTCAACCTCTCACAGAAATCACAGGGAAAATAGATTTTATTAGAAATGTATATTATGTGATAATTGATACTCTTAAATGTCAACTTAGTTCAAGAAGACAAGCTTATGAAAAAATATCAGATATTTATGGGTGTATACCCACATTGTATAAAACACCGAGTTCTATTGTTATAAGGAACACATGTGGAACTTTGGCAAAATATTTTATTGATGATGTTGAAAACTCAAGCTTACTTATAGATGAGTATATTCTTTTTTCAAAATTAATTTCCACGGATAAAAATGTAAAATCTGTTCTTTCTATGTATAAGTACATCAAGACTAAAGAATTAGAGTGTATGTTTCCAAATTTAGAAATAGTTATGCGTATGTACCTTAGTACAGCAGTTTCAAACTGCTTAGGCGAAAGAGCTTTTTCTGTACTTAAAAGAGTAAAATCCTACTTGAGGTCAACCATGAAGGAGGAAAGACTGAATGCATTAGCAATATTTAGCGTTGAAGCAGAATTGGTTGAAAAATTAGATTTTAATGATACTATTAACACATTTGCCCATCAAAAAGCAAGAAAAAGAAAAGTATAAAATAATGATTTGTTACTTTTTGTAATATGATTATTTTATATTTTTATATATCTAAAATATATTTTGTTTAATTTTAATTTTATGTTTTTACTTGTTTTCACATAGGTATTATATACATGTACATATTGATGTGGCTAATAAACCTAAAATAAAGTTTTATTATTTATTCAAGTATCGAGTAGAGAAATGTGTACAATATTTTTTTTTAATTGGGGGCACCAAATTTTTTACAGCCTATGGGCACTATAGATCTTAATCCGGGACTGTTTACATGCGATTAACTCTGGGAGTTGGCTAATTCGAATTAAGTTATATCAGTTTAAACTGTGCATATAACCATGGTAAGTGGTATTTGGATTTTATATTCCTACTATATATATATATATATATATAAATAATATAATATGAGTATTGGTGTACGCTGAGATTATTTTATTGATTAACTTCTTGGAACAATTATTCTTATCTACACAACAACGACGACAGACAAAAAGGATAGGTTGCAGGTAGCTGGAAATCCGCGGGCCGCCGCACAGTGGGCGGAATTTCGAAAATAGGTGGAACAAATAAAATTTTCACCTATCGTATAATTGATTTTATCTTTTACAATTTGTTTATTATATTACTATGGTCAAGATAATATAACACCTATCTGTAGTAATTAAGATATAATAATATTTAACAAGCTTCAAATTGTAAACGATAATCTGCGATAGGTTAATTGTTGGTCTGTCGTACAATATTTTGAGTTATTTGCGTTTGACTTTTCGAGTTGTAAGAGTCATTTGATTTCTGTATTATATATTTTATTTAATATGGATGATACTAAAGAAGGTGTGTTTGAATTAATTTTTTATGTTAATAAATTTAACCACCCATTTGGTAGTATTATAAATTACTAATGCAACATTTTACGTTTAATTTTAATTATTTTAACTTTGATAGCAGTTTAAAAAAAATGGTCAAAATTGACCTCTGAAAATACTATGCTAAATTATTCCAAAGTTCATAAAATTCAATTAAACATATATTTTATTTGCTCTTCATTGCTTCTATCAAAGTAATAATTATTTTTGTTAGGTGTCATGTATAGAGAATTGTTTGAATTTTTAAAAAAAAGTATGCTATGGACACGGCAAAACTTTACATAGAACACTATAACTGGTATTATATGCCGGCTAGTGTTCATAAAATTTTATTACACGGTACTGATGTTATAAAACATTGCTTACTACCAATTGGACAACTATATGAGGAAGTCTCGGAGCAAGAAATAAGCATTATAAATCTTTTCGAGAGCATTTCACTCGGAAAACCAGTCGAATTGATACAAATATTGATCTTCTTCATCGTCTAATTGTTACTTCTGATCCGGTTATATCATCAATACGGCCACATCCTTCTAATAAAATGATGTCATTATCCTCCAAAGTGTTGACTCTTTTAACTTGTTCGAATTCAATTACTTCCGAAAAAACGGTTATGATTACCGACTCAAATTTTAAATGGAATAGTGTATTGCATGTTAAATTTGCTTAATGTTTTTTTAGTATATGCCTGATAAATTATAAAAAATCTTAAATGTTATTAAAAACTTGTACTGTAACGTTATAAGTACATTAAAACATTTAAAAATAAATATATTACATTTGTTATTTGTTTCCAGCTATTTTTGAAATTCCGCCCACTGTGCGCCGTGCCGCACAATGCGTATTAGCCGTCAATAATTATAATTGTTAATTACTCCACTAAAACACAACATTTTTGAAAATCCTTTCTTATTGCACGCTGAAAATATGAGAAGAACCTCTATTCCAAATTTCAAGTCCATGCGTTGCGTAGTTTTTGAGATACAGCGATCTGTGAGTGAGTGGTATTTGGATTTTATATTTATAGATCAGTGGTTCCCAACCGGTGTGCCGTGAGCGCCCTTTAAATGTACTGCGATAAATCTATAAATTGTTTTATAAAGGCGCGTTTACACGATGACAGTAGCACTCGACAGTCGCCGTCATGATAGTCGCTGTCGTAAGACTGTCGTCGTATAAACATAATGACAGTTGGTGCCACATTGTCAACTGTCAGCTGTCGAACTATCTAGCTCTGCTAGATAGTAGGCAGTAACTAGCTGACAGTGTGACAGCCACTTCTATCGTGTAAACAGTGACTACCACACTCTCAACTACTACCGTAGTACGATTTTTGTATTGTTGTTATCAATTATTACTTGTTATCACATATACCTACAGTTTTTATTCAATTAATTTAAATGTTTAAATAATAATATATATCTAATTATAATAATTAATTGAAAATTATATAAATGAAATTATAATTCAAAATGGTTTTTGATACTATTCAATTTCTAAAATATTACGAAGAGCATCCTTGTTTATGGGATAAATGTATACCTGACTTTAAGAATAGGCAAAATTAAAACAATAAGTGAATCAGTTAATTATAAATTATAATAAAGTGAATTATAAAATAAACTAGTGACACTGTTAGTCAATTTTAATTAGCTATCGCACGAAACACAATATTTGTTATGACAATTATTGTCACCGTGTAAACGCTCATCTTCATGTGACAGTAGCTGTCACATTACTATACGACAGTGCTGTCATGACTGCACTGTCGCCGTGTAAACGCGCCTTAAGTATGTATTTATCAGCTTATTACTGATATTCGAGATAAAAACTGATCGAACTAATCGTAGATACATATAATATTATTTATTGTAAGTATACCCGTCGCAGCCGTCTCGATCGATTGATTGAATTAATATATTTCTCAATAAATAACCCTCTAATAGAGTAGACTATAAATAGTATACATATATATATATAATATGGTTCACATAATATATGGATTGGTGTGCTGCGAAAACTTTGTTGGAGATGAAGTGTGCCGCATTGTTAAAAAGGTTGAAAACCACTGGTATAGATAGTCGATATAAGTCGATTCCTAATATGGTTGCACATGTATCATGGATTAGTAGCCAAATAGTAGGTGATGCTATCAATATTCTATCAAAGAATATGAATAATTTAAAACATTTATGGTGGTGTGTAAGAATTATTTTATCGACGTAAAACTAATAATTATATGTATTTTTCAATTTTATAACATTATTATTAATAATACAACTTAAACATACATGTAACACTTGATTTCGTTTTGTTATTAACCTGAACTCCATTCCAACAAAAGCGGTAGGTGGAAAAAACATTTTTATTTTCTCGCTTAACGCATGTAAATTTCTATGCTACTCTTTGGGAAAATGGTGACAGTAAATGTTGCCTGATAGATGGTAGTTTTCTTGAGCGAGTTAATTGACGCCATCACTAATTCTCCCACATAACTAAAATATCAAGATTGACCTGTCCAACCCGATAAATACCAGAATTATATTAAATCGTTAACACAATTCCTCAAAGGAGATAATTGTCTATTCCAATTAATATGATTAAATCTACATTGATAACTAATTAATTTAATCAGAACTGGGATTCAATGAATCGTATACACTATATATATATATATATTTAAACAGAATACTTCAATAAGTTATAACTTTGTATATCCGTCATGGTTATAATATCACTACCGTGACCATCAATGATGCAGATGGATTATGTAATCAGTAGTCACTCTAGCGCGGTGTATAGTCAGTGAGGGTCACGCAAGCACGTTTCGCGGTCGTTTCACATATGAGTATTATCATATGGTGTGATTTTTATTTATGTGCTCATTTATTATTATTATTTTTTTTATTTGGAGATAATAAAACGAATCTGACGCCGAATAGCTGCAACGATAGTGCGACGTATGTCACGGACCGAGATATGCGTACCTAAAATATTTACATTTTTTTACGCATGTGTTGCTGCCGTTTGTGTATACTAACAACTTTAATAAAAACGCGTGAAATGCACGGTCGACTCGATGTTGATATTTTAATTATAACAATAATTATCATTACTTTGATTTAGTTTTTGGCTCTAATTCTAAAAGTTCGAAGTCCGTGGCGTGCTCGTCGACCGCTGACATAGTGCGAGTTCAATGGTCGGACACGATACAGTTTGTCATTTGTCAACGGCGACCTGTTAGCATATATTGTGCGTATTTGTCGGTTACCATAATAAAAAGGTAAAAAATATGTATAATTGTTTTCATTATTTATAATTTTACAACACAATACAATTCTACTGTAGTGTATAGACTAAATTGTTACATTCGCTTTATTTCTAAATATTCAGAGAAGTTTTAGAATAAACTTCCCTTATTTATATGTTTAAAAATAAGTAAAATATATTATAGTATTTATAAATATATGGTTCATTGTAACTCTAACTGAGAACTATACATTTTCCAACATTTTCTAGTAGATGAACCATGATGCATTTTCCAATGAATTAACTATTTTCATGTATTTGAAATAAAATTTATAATTTTAATAAAATATATAAATATATATTAATTTATAATAAAATTTATAAAATGATAAGTGTTGATTTATGACTAGATCATTTTTGGGTAAGGGTTTTAACTTGTTTACCATAGTGTTTAATTTTACTAAATTTTAAATAATAAAATGTTATTAAAAACAAAAATATATCACTTCAAAATATAATTTTTTAATTTTGATCATAACAAATTACAATTTACGGTTATCATTTTTAATTTTTATTAGTTTACTCGTCAGCAGTGCCGTAGCAACCAAACATTGCGCCCGGGGCCAAACTTCAAAATACGCCCTTATGTATTTTTAATTTAAAAATATTGCGCTTCTTAGATATTATTTTCAATGATTGCTTTAATCAATACGAAGGATGTTAAAGATTTTGTAAACAAAATATACGACATTGACCGTTTTAATTTTTAACATTAAATACAAGATTTTCATTTTCGCGCTCTCCCAGGAATTGCGCCCGGGGCGTAGACACCTCTTGCCTTACCCCTGCTACGGCCCTGCTCGTCAATATCACGATTTTTTTACAAATTAATTTTTTTTATTGTTTTTGTTACTTTAAGCATCGATTATAGAGTAAATATAATCAATGCTTCAAGAATAAAACGAAATTAATATGTGATAAATTCTAAAAATGTTATATAATTTTATTCAAAACAACGGGACATTTGACTTCCATTTATTAAAATGTGGCAAATATGATGCAAATATGCAAAGCAAAAAGGGTCAAAATATGCATTAATATGCACAAATAAATGAAAAATATGCTCAAATATGCATTATAAATTTAAATTACTTTATCAACTACAAACTTAATAAATTTATAACATAACAAATATAACAAAATTAGAAGTTTTGGACCTTTCAACATCAAATTAAATCAACAAAATATTTAAGTATATAAAAAAAATATTATATGTTTTTAAAACAGTTTAAACAAATTATAATAAAATATAATAAAATAGGATTGTTGGACCTTTCAACATCAAATTAAATCAATAAAATATTTAAATATAAAAAAAACTATTATTTTTTGTTTTCATAACAATTAATTACAATATACATTTCCATATTTTGTGGGGTCATGTTGGTTCTTTTTTCAGTTAATATCATTTTGTAAGTACTAAACGACCGTTCAACGTCCACAGATGTTATAGGTGCATATTTCATACAAGTACTCATCGTGGGTGTAAAATTTGGGGGTAAAAAACTCTTTTTTCCCGGATAGAACATCTGATATCTGCTTCAATATTTTAAAACCACAATTTTTGTGTATTAAATCAGAAACTCTTTTTAATAATTTTTCCATTATTTCCGGACACCATTTTCATGTTTAAAATAGTTTTATTAACAATTTTTGTCGCATCAAACAAACGCAAATTAGATGACTCTAATTTTTTAATACTTTTAACAAGTATAAAAAAATTAGTTTTAATATATGTAAGATCAGTTTTAACAGACTCTAACTTAAGCATATCTTCACATTTTCTTATACTGACCACATTTTTTTCTTTCAATTGTTTAATGATAATTATTTTTAGCTGTTCAAAATTATCAGCACAAAAGGTGGCTGCTTCAATCCAAGTACCCCATCTGTTGAGTATAGGTTCTGGTGGTAAGGCTACATTTGTCAAAACATCTTTGTAGACTTCTACACGATGAGAAGCTTTTAAGAACACTTTTTTTAAATTATTTATCAGTGTATTAACATTTGGAAATAATTCTCTCACTTTTTCAGCAATTCTTTGAAGCATATACGCTAAGCATGTATCATGTATCATGTTGGGAAAAAATACATTTAATGTTTTACCTGCCTTTATCATATATGGGGTTGCATCTGATAATAATAGCAAAAATTTTTCGTCATTACCACCACTTGGCCACAAAATCCTTAAGTCATCATTGACAAAACGTGCAATAGTAGAATGATTTGTTTTTTCTAGTTTTTTACTAGCAATTAAAAAGGGATTGAAAGAGTTTTCATTACTTAACGCACTTATTTAAAGATTAGCTATGTAGGTACCATTAATATCTGTTGTTTCATCTACAATTAAAAAAATATACGAATTCCCTACTTTTTCTCTTATGTTTTTTATTATTTTATTATAACAAGGCTCGAGATAAGATTTTCGAAGTAAACTCTCATCTGATATATGTTGATTCGTGTATTTTTGCAAGAAATCTAAATTGTGGAACTTGAAGTTTAAACCATGGTATCTTGGCAGCTATTAAGCTCAAACAGAGATCTTCATTAAAATTATTGGTATTAGATTTGTAAACATTTCCCAATAGCATTTGTTTTTCATTATTTAAACTTCGTTTCAAGGAATCAGTATGAAAATATGTTTGAACATGTGTGATTTGAAATTTTTTATTACACGGTACTTGGCGATTGCATACCTGACTACGTTTTCATCAGTTGTAAATACAATAGTGTCTCTATTATATGGTTCAATCCACTGGTTTATCAAACACTTAATATTTTTTCGTATTTTAAACATTTTTTCAAATTGTTTTTAATTTACGCAAAATAAGAATAAAAACTTCACTAAACCGTAAATGAAACGTGATAATATGTACACCACTACTAGTTACTACACATGACAAAATTGTCAATATTGTCATGCTACTACACTAATACATGAAACGGTAAAACATGGTGAATTTAAATCAGTTTATCACTTTTCAAATTTGCAGTGTAGCCAATAAATGAATACTAAATTTTTACACAACTTTAAGAAGTAACCTTAAAATTTATTTGTCAGATAATAGTTTATCAACGGTATTAAACTCGAAAAAATAAAATTCTATACCGTTTTAATAGTAATTGAAAATTTCAATTTCCAAAATAAAAACATGAAATAATTTGATTATTTACTATGATTTTAAAAAATATATACATTATATGCACTTATGCAAAAATATGCCTCAATCCTTCAAGTATGCCATTATATGCAAAATTAAATTTGATCTATGGAAGAGTTGGTTCGGAATCGCCCACATTTCGAATCCTTGTATAAGTACATATACTCGGTATGAACATGCAAATGCATAAAATTCCGGTCTCTAATTATAATGCATTTTGTATATCATGCGACGATATCCGTTCGTGAAAACTATTTCGTTCATGCACTTCAAAGTTCGAATATTCACAAGCACTATACGGTTATATCTAATTAATTTAACATCAGTGGAACTTGAGTACTTAACTCTATCTACCGTTTAGGCGGGTTACTTAGCTTCAAATTGATTATTTTTTAAGTTTGAAGTTTTAAACCAATGTTACAGCTTCAATAATATAGGTATAAAATACTTATACATGTTGTTTTATAGTCTATAGGTATTATAGCGACACGGAAACATTGTTCCCGCAGCGTCATTGGTTAGACAATGACAAAAAATAAATAAAAATGGTACCTATAGGCTAGTCTATAGCAGTAGTTCCCAAAGTGTGCTCCACAGCAGCGGTTCTTAACCATAGGGTCGCGACCCAATTTTGGGTCGCTAATAATTTTAAATGGGTCGGATAAAAATTTAAAACGTTCGTATAATATTTTTATTCTTAAGTCTTATAAATAATAAATGAAACCTCATGTAAGTTGGTTATCATGGAGAAAAATTTTAACGAGATTTTTTGAATTAAGAACTGAAATAGAAGTATTTTTAAGAGAAAAAATTCACTGTTATTCATCCATTTTCAAGATATAATTTGGTTGACAAAAGTTGCGTATCTATCAGATATTTTTTCGTTATTAAATGAGTTAAATTTGAGTATGCAAAGGCCATTAACTAATATTTTTACACGTTGTAATAAAGATATTAACTACAATCAAAACCAAATCATGAAACAAGCTTGATGTCGAACCCACTATGCGTATTTCACTTACTAACTCCATAGAAGAACTCTAAATTGATTCATTGGTAAAGCAACATAAAGACCAAGGAAGTCATTAAATTAAAAATTATTTAAAAAACAATACAATATTATTAAAAGAAATGTTTATTTTTAAATATAATGTAATTAATATTATGACTTGTTATGAATACAAGTAATATGAGTAAAAAATGTTATTCAATTAAGAGTGCCAAATAGTTATTTTTCATTCTGCCATTGAATATGATTCATAAAAAGGTCGCAGGAAATATTTGGTAAATTTCTTGGGTCGCCACTACACAAAGGTTAAGAACCGAATTTTACTGAAAAAATGCATACTTTAAGTATGAATGTAATTGATTTAACTCGCAAAAACAATAAATTGTTATGATGGTAGAATGTAATTTTAATAAAACATAAATAATCCAAGAGCTTATCTTTTTTGTTTTATCATTTGAAAAATAAGTGTCACGTGCTCTCATTTTCTTCTTTTTAGGAACTGAATCCATATTTGCACTTTGTAACGATTTTTTTTAATAATTTTAACTTAAAAATTAGTTAATTTGTAAATTGTAGGGCAACAACAGTCAACACTCAACAATACGCGGACTTGGAAAACACAATATTTCGTTAATTGTTTAATAATAATTTATAAAGAGTAATCGCACACTTCTACTCATGATAGCTGAACACATTACCCAGAATACCATAAATGTAATAATAATAATGTAATAATGTCTGTCAAAAGGTTTCTGTTTCCGTCGACAACAGGATGCTTTTATAATCGCGTATGTTTTCCAAGTATTTTCATTTTATTTTTATGTTTTTCATACACGATTCATATATAATATAAATACTATTATTAGTAATTTATTACTATATATTATTCGGCAATAAGTGAGATCGACTATTTATAATTACTTTGACTTGTTCGCGCTAACAGGCAATCTGTAGGAACTAGCCAAAAGTGACTTATCGATTAATGATTATTAATAATCGTATTGTTTTTTTTTTCAATTAAATACCTCCTATATCATATATTATGACATGTTAGGTACAATGTTAGGTATGTCGCATAGTCGCTAAATACCTAAATACCTAAGACCAGCTTTATGTAAAAAAAACTTCCAATTTTGTAACTGACACAAAAAATCTCAGGGGGGGCAATGGCCCCCACTGGCCCCCCCTTCCGGGCGTCCCTGCTATTAAGTACTTAGATGGTAGTTACCCACCTAGGTATTAGCAATTTATTAATTCTTTAAAGATTATTTTGTTTGTGTTAAGTTAACCAATATCATACACACATTTTGTGCAGACTTTGACCATTATATTTTGAAGTCCATTAGTTAATTATCTTTGATGTGGATACTGAAATTACAAAAGTATATGGTAATATTTGATACATCATATGTATACAGATTACACACGTTAATCCAACACAAAATATACATACTCAACAGTTTTCAGTCCCATCCCGGGGAGGAGATGCTATACCTTCACGTGGTCTCCCCAGTGAGTAGTGTGTTTTCAAATTTGACCTACTCAATACTTCAGTCCCTTCCAAAATATTTTTTATTATTTAAATGACATACTACTGTTAGCCCAACTTTAATTTGAAGGTACTTATTAAATTAAGAAAAAAAAAAAAAAATTAATAATAAATAATAAAAATAATATATAATTTAACTCTTAAATATTAATATAAATAACTTAATAGAGTATTAATATTTAATGCAGACATATTGCAAAGTATGAAAATTAATTGTAAAATAGATATATTATATATATTATATATTATATTTATTTTACAATGCAACATGTCTGCATTAAATATTAATACTCTGTTAAGTTATTTATATTAATATTTAAGAGTTAAATTATATATTATTTTTAATTAAATTGTTTTATCATGTTAAATGTAATGTATAATATTATTAAACAGATCCATATCAAAATACTATGTACAGATTTTTATTTTTTTTATAACCCAATCTTATTGTGTACTGTACCTTAAAATATAATAATCATCATTACTTTTATGATTTTATTAGGTGTTGTACCTCATGCCTTATATTATGTTTTTAAATTATTATCATTTACTACAGCATACTATTTATAGAATTTTAAATGTCGCATAATACCTGCAATATGAAATGACTATTGAAATCTGAACAATATAATTTTATAAAAGTATCTTATTAAATATTAAAACGAACATTGATTCATTAAAAGATTACCTCAGTAAATTGGGTGATGAATTTGTTTGTGTTATTGATGTTAATGAGTCTTGTATCGAATCACAAAAGTTTGTAATTAGAACTAATATTTATGATAGTAGTTCTGCCAAAAAATTTATAGATTTACTTTCTACATTGATTAATACATCATATATATTTCAATCAGAATTAAAAAATTCTATAAAGTAAGAACACCAAATATAATATCTATGTAAAGAGTATTGTGTAGTTAATTTACAAAATTAAACTGTTCTAATAAAACCTTCATTTTGTAGGGTTAATTTTCACAAATATTTTATTTATCATCACTCATCAAAAAATTAAAGTACTACTAAAACTACAGAACGTAATACTGACTGTAAGTCATCCTAAGGCATACTAATAAAAAAAGAATAATAAAAATACCTGAAAGATACTTACTTAAAATATACTCCACTTTCAGCTAAAGAGAAAATATTTTGGAATCATAACCATCCAGTTGATCCAAGCGATGCTTTAAAATATTTGAGAACAAATAATGAGGTAATTATATAATAGTAATATCCATTTTATAAATAACTCTCTCATGAACTCCACCATCAATACTTAAAAAAATAGGAAAAAGATTAAGTCATGTAAAAAATTCATCAAGAATTTGCTAACTTAATGTGTTCACTGAGTAGACCATCTTCCAATATAAACAGGAGGAAAGGTCAAATTAAAGTAAGCCAACATCAATAAGTCGTCGTAAAATAGAAATTACACGTGGAACTCTGAAGATAAAAGCTGGTGGTAGAAGACTTTCTAGTCAGGGAAAAAACATTATTCAAAAGAGACCTCATAACCTGAGATACAATATGGCTCAAGATCAAATGAATGCCAAAAGTCATGGCAAAAATCATTAGAATCTAGTGCAAGTTTAATTTTAATACAATAATAATTTAAAATATTTGTATATTGTAAAATCTTGAACAATTATTTAATAATACTTTTTATTTTAATTTTTTAAGATTCAATAGTTTTCATTATTTTATAAGGATTTAATAATAGATTTTTTCCAAAATACGTAATTTAATGTGTATTACTTTTCATTTATTTATAAAAAGTCATTTTTTGAAATCTTATTACTTACATATTTATTATATTAACCAAAATAAAATTATATTTTTACCTACTTTTAATCAATAATTTAGATACAAGTTTAAATTGAAAAAATATTTTATTAAGTACCTACTCTACTTTTTAGCGGAAGATGGTTGTTAAGAATTTTTAGATAATTTTTGAGTTCCCTAGTATTGATGGTCAAATTAAAGTTGTGCTGACAGTAGTATGTCATTTAAATAATAAAAAATAATTTGGATGGGACTTATTTATTTATTTATGCATATGACACTTTCGGCTTATCAATAATTAGTAGTGTTAATTACAATATAGAATAGCTAGTAAAATAAATAAAGTATAAAGAATAAAATGTGTAACAACAAAACAATAGTCAAAATAATCAATAAAAAATAAAAGGTAAATAAATAATAGTGGTAGCAACATAAACATTGGTAACTATAGTGAATGGGTAACAAGTAGGAAGGAATCACAAACGTATAGTGAGTTCATCGCACAATTTGGTGACTGCCGGACTGCCCTCGTGCAATTTGGCTAATCCTCCTTCAAACATCGTGTTAGGGCATGTCTGGACAATGTGATTGATAGTTTGTTTATCGCCGCATTCGCATAGTTAAGAGTTAAACATTCCCCATTTATGGAGTAAGCAGTTACATCTTCCCTGCTCCACCCTGATGCGGTTGAGAGTGGTCCATTGGGCCCGTGTAAGATCCCAACCAGGTACTTTTATAGTTGTGTCAGTAACAAGGGTTTTGTTACGAGTTTCTGCTACGCCCCATCGCTTTTTCCATAGCTCTTCTATGGGCTCTTCGGATACTTTATTACGCCAGATAGGGTTCCTTGAACTTAGCTTTATTGGATGATGTTCCAAAATATCCTTTTGTAGGGGCAAGTTTTGAAAGGTACTCAGTTTTAAGATGGTTTTTGAAGTATGAGATAACCTCCGGAGGTCATGAGGGGCTATGTTTGATAGGACCGGTAGCCATTCCGTTTGTGTGGATCTTACAGTTCCGGAGATGATGTGATTCAGCTCTATATCCACTTTCTTACAATGCGCACTTCTTGCCCATACTGGTGAGCAGTACTCGGCGACACTATACATTAATGCTAAGGCTGAGTTCGGAGTACACTGGTGCAGCACCGCTAGGTGCCCGCTAGCTTAGCTATGATGTTGTTGCGTGTTTTTAACTTATTTTTAACGGATTCCAGGTAATGGCTATAAGTTAGAGTTCTGTCGAATTTTACTTCTAAGTATTTGGGACAATCTTCAGTAGCGATTTTTTTACCTGTGATCAGTATTTCAAGTTCTTTTTTGGTTTCCCGATTGTTGAGATGGAAGGTTCTTGTTACTGACTTACCTGGATTAAGCGTTAGGTGCCACTTGTGGAAATATTTTTGCAATTTGTCTAGGTCTGCATTTAGCATATTCTCTAATTCTGCGAAGCTTCTGGCTTGAGTTACTAGCGCAACGTCATCCTCATACATAAACTTTCTTGAAGACGTTTCGGTAATATCTGCTATATATGCGTTAAATAATTGTGGAGACGGTACTGAACCTTGCGAGAGTCCATTTTGGAGGCGCTTGTAGTGGCTTTCTTTGCCGCTAAAAGATACACGGAATTTTCTATTTGATAGGATGTTATCTATTAGTCGTACCGTTGTTCTGCATTTTAATATTTTCGCTAGTTTTAGAATTAGACCTTTCTTCCAGACTGTGTCATACGCAGAATAAAGGTCTAAGAAAACCGCGCCGGACTTTTGCTGTCTTTGGAACCAGTTTTCTATGTGCGTGGCTAGAGCTAGCGCTTGATCGCAGCAATTTCTGTTTTTCCTAAAACCGGCTTGTTCAATGGGCAAGGATGCTTCAATCGTCGATTGTAAACGTGCTAGGATCATTCTTTCGAAGAGTTTGTATTTAGATAATAGCAGAGATATTGGTCTATAGTTTTTGGGGTCGGTGGGTTCTTTATTAGGCTTTAAGATAGCTATGACTTTGGATTCGCGCCAAGTATTTGGGATGTTATTCGAGTTAACTATGTTTGTGGCAAGTGTTGCAATCCAGTTAATGCTTCTGGGTCCAAGGTTTTTTAGAAACTCTGGAAGTACTCCATCTGTTCCAGCTGCTTTTCCATTTTTGACTGATTTTAGTGCGTTTAGAACTTCCTCTCCGGTAAAGTCTTTCATGAGTGCCATCTTTTCTTCGCATAAGTTTAATAGTTCTGAAAGTTCTTTTCTAGCTTCTATTTTTTCGCTCTTTTGTGGTTTGATATTAGACGTTCTGAATAGTAGGTTAGCTATATCGCTGGCTGCAACACTTCCAACTTTCCTTGATGGCTGCGAGGCTCCTAGTTTTGTCAAAAGAGCCCATCTTTTCCTGCTCGAGTGGGTGTATCCATCTCCTCTATTGCAGATGTCCACCCATTCCTTCTTTCCTCGTCTAGTAGGGCCATTAAGCGATTTGCACTTCCCGATTGCTCGTATTCTTGTAGTAGTAGCTCGCATTCCTTATTTCAGCACGGTATATAGTTCTGCCTGTATCCTCTTGGTATGGCTGTGGTAGCAGCTATCTTGATTAGTTTTACGAATCTAAGGTAATTTTCTGGGATAGGCGGTATTCGGTTGATATTATCTTCCATGTATTTAGTGTAATCTGACCATCTTGCTTTTCGAAAATTCCATATGGGTATTGCGGGCTTATTTATTCGTGGGAGGCTGATCCCTGTATCTATAATAACTGGTTTATGTTGGCTTTTTGGAAATTTTGTAAGATGGCACGGGAGACTCTAATAGGTTGGTGGTTCTTGTCTATTGATACAAAACATAGGTCCGGGGAAGTAGTTGTGCCCCATCTACCTGACTCAAATGTGCCAACTTGCTTAGCATCATATACTAAGAGCAATCGATTAACAGCTGCCCAGCTGGTAAGTTTTCCCCAATCTTCATTCTCGTTTGGGTAGCCCCATTCGGTGCTGTGTGAATTAAAGTCGCCTATGTAGATCGTTGGGTATTGTTGAACTGGAAGCACTGAGTTAGACCACATTTCTGAGGGTGGTTTATATACGTTGTAGGTTATAAGATTTCCTATGCGTATGCCAATTGAGTGTATATTTCCAGCTATGGGAACCACGTTTGTCTCTTCTATGTTTTGATTAACATAAGTTGCCAGCCCGTGTTTGCGATGTCCTATATAGTCGATCATATTGAAACCGGGGATTTTCAGACGACTGGACTCGCCTTCCGGCACATAGGTCTCTTGTAGTGCGAGTACATCTGCGTCTTTGAACGTTTTGCTTAGGATTTCGGATTTGGCTCTCGTTAAACCTTCGACGTTCAGGTGAACAACTCTTATACTTCTTAGAGATTCCTTTTTACTTGGGTAGGGTAGATCTTCACTGTTTATGTTTTGTGTTTTTTTTTTATAGGTTTTATTTTTATTTTGTTTTTTGTGCGATTTTTTGGTTATTCTTTGTTTAACACGTGCAGCGTGCAAGTCAAAAGAGCCCTGAAAAGGGCTGTTTTTGCCGAAAAAGCCAGGTGGTCCACGGACGTCTGGCTTTCGATGTGATGCTATTTGGTTTCGTGTGTTCATTGTGGAAAATTCGCAGTTCAGATCCTTTGAAAATTCGAAAACACACTACTCACTGGGGAGACCACGTGAAGGTATAGCATCTCCTCCCCGGGATGGGACTAAAAACTGTTAAGTATGTATATTTTGTGTTGGATTAAAGTGTGTAATCTATATACATATGATGTATCAAATATTACCATATACTGTTGTAATTTCAGTATCCACATCAAAGATAATTAACTAATGGACTTCAAAATATAATGGTCAAAGTCTGCACAAAATGTGTGTATGATATTGGTTAACTTAACACATACAAAATAATCTTTAAAGAATTAATAAATTGCTAATACCTAGGTGGGTCACTACCATCAAAGTACTTAATAGTTAATAGAATAATAGTATTGATAATTTTATAATAGACATTTTATTTATGAAAATGTAATTCTCTATTCTACCTATAATTGTGACTTATTAAGAGGTAATTATTGTAAAAAATTAATTATAACAAAATATTATTTGAATCAAACATAGACATATTACATTTATTACATAATATCCATTTATTTATTGTATAATAGTGAATAGGTACCATCTAAATAATATGCATAGTATAAGAAATAATATATAATTATATTTTATGTATGTATATACATAAACATATAATGTTGTTAATTGTGAATTATATATTTTTGATAATAGGTAGTTGATAATAGGTTTGTTCGTTTTGTCAAAAAGTGTACACTTTTTTCACACTGACCCAAGTGTAAGTGTAGGCACAGTATTTATAGTGTATAGTTGATCGTTATCAAATTAAGCCTTATCAGCTAAAAGTTTAATCTGCAATTTCAAATAAATG